CCAGTACCCAATAAATAAATAAATGAAAGTTAAAGAATCATTGACTTGGAAGTGAATGCATAAAGTGTGAAGGTTCTAAGGGAGAGAATTGAACAACAGCAGATGAGGTAGAGAGCGAAGATGGGAGGGGAGGGGAGGGGAGGGTGGATAGTAGGGGATAGGAAAAGTAGCAGAATACAACAATCACTAATATGCCATTATGTAAAAATGTGAGTGTGTAACCGATGTGATTCTGCAATTTGTATTTGGGGTAAAAATGGGAGTTCATAACCCAATTGAGTCAAATGTATGAAAGATGATATATCATGAGCTTTGTAATGTTTTGAACAACCAATAAAAAATAAATAAATAAATAAATAAATAAAAGTGTGAAGGTTCTTCAGATATCCTTGATGGTTAAAAAAAAAGGCATGAAGCCACCCTGCTGCAAGAGAGGCCACTGCTAGCCATAAGTCGGGTACTCTGTGGTGTTCCTGGTGTGGGTTTGTGAAGAATATGAAGGGCAGTGGGGTTCTCCCGAGGCACACTGCATGACTTGAGTGCAGTCAGTGAACTTTCTCTTCTCTCCCACCAAGAAGCTCCACAGAGGGGCTAACTAGGACACCACAGGGTTGAATTAAAACCAGGAAAGCATTTTACAAGTGTTCTGACCTACATGGGTAAACCTCAGTACTGGATGAAAGAATTGCTGCTGCTCCTGAGGAGGTTTGTTTCCCTTCCTGTGGCTCCAGTTCAATACTCAAAGCACCAAGAAGTCCAAATGTGGTGTACCAAAGTAGACTTCAATGTCTTTACATCAGTTCTGTGTTCTGTATTCAAATTCTTCTAATTTTCAATAATCCTATTGAGTGTTTTTTAACTAGTGTGACTCAAATGAATCAGCCACCTCTTGTGAAGTCACACACAGGGCAATCCAACCCATGTGACCTTAAATGAAGTTGCAGAAAACTTTCAGACGTACGGCAGTACCACAGTGGTGAGCATAAGTGAAGCAATTCCCAACACTGCTCTTCTGTTAAGGAAGGTTCTGGACTGGCCATCTGATGATGGTATGCTGCCATCCAACCAGACTGGAAGGTTGGTAGTGTCTTATAAAATAAAGTTTCCTGAAGAACCTCGTTGTGATGTTGCTGTCACTGGGCTGAAGGCCCTAGGAGAGCACTAGTGCTTGGTGCCCTTGCATTATTCGAAGGTGGAGCAAAATATGAAGTAAAGTTCAGAAGACAAAAGTGAAGTAGAACTTTTCTATTATGAGAAGTATTGCCCTAAAATACAGCTGCACTTCATAGACAGCAGTAGTCATAGAAGCAACTGTTACAGTCAATAAACTGAACTGTGTGATGCTATTAGCTTGGAAATGGAATTTAAGGTAGGACCAGGTTTATGGTATGTATTAGCCAAATGCAGGCTTACTGAATGATAAGTCTAATGAAGCTTCCATAGGCATATCAATAAGCAGTTGTACCAGGCCTCAAGCTTGGCAGAATTGCAACTTCTGTCTTCAAATTATGATCAACTTATCAGAAAATGCCTTGCTGTCCAACATTTAAAATGTGCTTGCCCTTTATATCAACTGACCTGCCTTATTTATGTCTTCTTCAAATCTATGCCCACACCCAAATCTTTTCAATATGTAAGAAATGTAGAGAGACTAGGTAACAAAATACTGAGCATCACATAGAGAATTAAAATCCCACAAGCCATGAACAACAGCCTAGACCTTCTGTGGTCTATCCCCCCAGTCAGTTCACATGTTGCTAGTAAGGCCTGTGTGGCTGTTTGCCTGCTACTTTATGTTTATATCTACCACATTTAAAACAGTACACATCAGATTTGTGTAACCGTTAATTTTGTTGGCCTTTGTCCAAGTCTTATGATGATTTCTTAATGTCTTTCTATAAATTCTGTTTTGTTCTGCTATGAAACGTCCATTTTGAAAATCACAAACCTCTAGTTGAAAAGTTCATGTAAAGTCCACATTGTACAGAAGCACATATCTTTAGTGTCTCCAGACAAAAGAAAAGTCTTAAAGTTTAATTTAATGTTTGCACTTTTGGGCACAACTTGAAAGAGGGCCTGAAGAAAAAGTTGGAGTGAACCATTGAACCATTAAATATTTTTAGCAAAATGTGTTTGCCTTCTGCAGGACATATGCCTTTTAATTTTGTAAATATTCTTTTAAAGTAGAGATGATTTGTGGTTGTAACCAAAATAATACTTAATCATAAAATTTCTTAAAATCCTGTAATTTTTTTCCATATCTATTGAAAGTTGTTTACCAACTATTTTTGTTAGAAGTGTAACTTTTTCCCTTCTCTTTCCAACCTCTCTTGCAAAGATAGAAGTGAATTTCTACTGTTGAATTCAGCAGATATCTAATACTTTATATGCCTGTTGAGCTATGTGATATAATAGCTGCATGTTTAATAATGTGTTTTGCTGTATAACCCATAAAATGATGATTTATATTGATGTCAGTACTTGGAAAGTGTTTACTCGTGATTGTAGTCCTGTGGATGAAATAATTTGTCAGTGTTCTCCAACTTGTAAAAACTTACTACAAGAGTTTAAGCTCCTCAGGAAATAATGAAATAGGAAAAAAAAGAGTTAAGGATCACTACTAAGTATATGGAAATATAATGTAGAACTTCTAAAACACAAGATGGAAGACGTTGAATTTTAAAACTTGATTTGAAAAAAAAAAAAGATGGGAAAAAGAAAAAAGGTAAAGGAGGATAAAATATAATACAAAATTAAGTGGGTAGCAGTAATTCCAAAAATATCAGGAATCAAAAAATGTAAAAGGACTAAACTTTCTTCTTAGAAGACAGGGATTAGATAAAAATTAAGACCAACTGCACAATATTTACAAAAGAAACACCTTAAATTTAAGGATATAAGACAATAAAAGTAGGTAGTTGATATAAGGTATGCCAGGCAAATACTAAGTAAAAGAAAGCAGAGGTCATTACATTAATAGGAAATAAAACCCCAAACTTTGGGCTGAAAATATAGTTCAATTGGTAGAGTGCTTGTCTTGAATGCCCAAGGCCCTGGGTTCAATCCCCAGCACCCAAACAAACAAACAAAACCCCCAAACTTTAGACAGTTTTATTAAAGAAAAAAAAATCACAATGTAAGGATTAAAGGTTTAATTTACCAAGAAGGTATAACATTGTTAAACTGTTAGGCCTTTAATTACACAGATTTGCAATATATAAAACAAAAATTGATAGTCTAACAAGGAAAGATTGAAAAAATGAACATCACAATAGGATATTGAGAACAGTAATCATTCTAACAATCTGATAAGCCACAATTAGGGTTTCAGATAAAACTTCTAATTAGGATAAAATGTAGATTCCCAAAAGTGTCAACCCACACTACTTACATGGATTTAGCAAATGGTTCTTACAATGTCCTTATATAGTTTGTCATTTTATAATGTCCTTTTCCTGTAAACAAATCTCTCTTTGCCAGGAAGAAACATTTTAAACCAAACTATTGGAGCTGGAGATTTAGCTTAGTGACAGAAAACTTGCCTAGGATGCAGCAGGCTCTAGTTTCAATCCCCAGGACCACAAAAACAAACAAAAATAAAATAAATCAATCTGTTGATCTATTTGTAAATAAATAAACAGCCATCACAGTAACCAAACATTGAACCCATTTGAATCCTCTATACATGAAGATTCAGAGCAGTTTCTTAGACTGGATCTGTGAGGTACTGTCTTTCTTTGCTTTTCTCCCTTTTGAAACCTATATTCATTACCTCCTTTCCTTTTTTTTCAATCCTGACCACCTCCCCCCATAATAATTTCAAATCAATACTAATGAGTTGCATGAGGAGAATTGTGTTGGTCATTGAGGAAAGATGTTTCTTTACTAATTGTGTGCTAATAGCTTGGAGGCTTTCCAAAAAAAAAAAAAAAAAAAAAAAAAGCCCTCTCAACAGAAGCAACTTTCTCTCACCCACTCCTAGCTGCCTCTGAGGATCAAAGCACATACTGCACTGTGTTGCACAAATTCAGGGTCCATGGCTGAATGCCCTTAGAGAAGCTGGATTGTAACTGAGCAATCCATTACCATCTCTGACTCCTCCTTACTTTGTACCACTAGAAAATGGGGACAGTTACCTTGGGGACCATAATAAACATGAGATTGTGAAAAATGCCTGGAAAAGTTTCTGAGTAGCTGTTATTAGGAATACTCTTCTTATCAGTATTATGTTAATCATAAGTATTTGATTGCTTCCAGCAGAAAAATAGAGACTCCCTGGAAACCAAGGCAGGACTGGGCTGAGTTTTGCTGCCTCTGGTTTGAAAGCTTATAAAAGACTTCACTTCTGTCCTTTCTTTTTTTTTTTTTTTTCCTTTCAATAATCTTGAGATTTTCTATCTACTGTTGTTTTAAAGGTCATCTTGAATTGATTCTGCCCCATATCATTTCAGCATATCCCCTTTGTTAACCTGTAATATCAAGACGGCTGGTATTTGACAGGGGCACTTGTTTCCATACTTTTATATTCAATGCAAGAAAATATAAACTCTTGAAGGATAGGTAATTTTTAGTAACTAGAGATTTTAATAGCAGTACTATTTTAATTCTCCTAGTTATTTGGTATTAATTTCCTATAACTATATCCAGATGTGTATGCAGTTTGTAGATCCTATGAACAAAATGCTGGCAACCATTTGGTAAATTGTCTCTGAAATTTTCTTTCTCTGGACTTAGTTTTATTCATTCTGAAAGTAGCAACCCTTTGCTTACAGTAGAAACATTTTAAATCATTGGTACTATGATACCTAATGTCACTGATACTAGAGTAAATGTCAGTTTGAGTAAAAGATACTCTGAGAACCAGTGTGAATTCAGCAGGTAATTTAAGTTGTTTTCCTGGCCAGGCATAACTTGAAATACAGAAAAATTACATGATCCTTATGTCTTATTTGGTAGATTTTCTTCTTTGGTCTGATTTCTTTTCTTGCTTGTGTTTTCAGGCTCAGCTATGTGAATCATGCAGAAGATCTGGCCTCTAAGCTCCTACAGTGTTCCCCAAAGAACAGACTATCAGCACAGGCTGCCTTGAGCCATGAGTATTTTAGTGACCTTCCCCCACGGCTATGGGAACTGACTGATAGTGAGTATGACACATCTGCATATCCAATCAAAGTACTTTACTATCTATAGAGAACATACATGAGGAGAGATTCATTTGCTTATGTGTGCACAAACACAAGATCATGTATATATGTGTTTGCATTTTGTGTGTGGGGGTGGGTAGGTGGGGGGGAGGGAGAGAGAGAGAACGAGCATGTGAGTGCACAAGAGCAGGGGCTGGGGACACGTGTATATATATTTAGTGGAATCCTGCCATTCAATTTCTAGCTTACCAGACACAGGAAGAAAATGGATTCCTTCTTTGCTATCTCTGCTCTGCAGTCTGCAGCTGTGCATCTTTGTATTTGATTATGTGTGTGTCCAAAAAATGATCTGAGCAGTCATAAAGGAAAAAGGAAAATATGATTTACATATTTAGTGCTTTATGCATACAGTACTATTTTAACTGGCTACAGTACACAGCGGAGAAATGATTCATTTCTGTTTAATTCTCAGAAACCATCTTGGTTGTAACAATAACCTTAAAAAGGACTGCTACTCAGTGAGCTGAGGAACAGAGTTGGCAATTGGCTAATGCACTGAATTGACATGTAAAGACTGAAGACATGTAATTCATTTTAACTGCACATGCTCTTGGTATTTGTACAGACAGCTCTTCTCTAGATCTTTTAAAACAAAACACATTCCTGGGTGGGTTTGTGTTTTGTTTTTACAAAAGTATTCTTTCTTACACAGGCTTTTTCAATTACATTTAAAATATTTGGGGGAGGATTTATGGCTGGGAGGATCTCAGCTTTCTTCCCAAGTGTGAAACAGAATTCTTGTGAAATTTTGCAGAACACTGTTGCAGTAGGAATATTTTTGTTCAATGGTGATGCATTCTTTTTAAATGCCCATTATATTTTTTCTCATACTCTTCTGATTGCCTTAAAATAACATACTGCCTATATGCACAAATATTTGTGATATGTGTATTAATCCTTGTGTATACAACATTTACAGTAGACACAAAGCTAATTTCCTTTGTCTCTTGAATTTTAGTTTTTTCCCCTCCTCTTTGCAGCAATGGTTTCTCCTTTACAGTAGCCCTTTACTTTATAACTAAACCCCAAGTAACAACTCCTGTTGAGTATTCCTACCCTAAACCTTTTTGCTATCCCACACTTACTTCCAACAACTTTTTTACCTGAAAGTGACTATAGGTATATTAATCTACTACTCTCCTTGTGCTTAGCAAATTCTCATTAACATTTCATATAGTCCCTGTCCATATTTACTCTATATTCTGCTCTACTTCCTTTCTAAAAATCTACCCACTGGCCATCATTATAACAGTTATTCCCCCAAATAAAAAAAGAAAACATGAAATTTCTATGGAAAATAATGATTTTGTGATACATCTTACTATACTGAGGAAAAAAAAAAAAACACACGTATATAGGCTCATTCATTTACTGCTCACCACACTCAAGCATATGGCTTGTTTTCCCTCTTTAGTGGAACTTGTAACTTGATATCACTCCTCCTTTGTGACATCTCAATCCCATCTGACTTGATGATTGAGTTTAAGCCAGGATTTTGATGGTCTATGAATTCTGAATTCTGTAGTAGTACTTTTCTGCTAATATGGACTTATTACCCACTTGCCACTTAGTTTATCAGCCAGTGGTTAAATCCAGTTTCTATCAGTGAGTAAATGCCTACACATTATCACTCCACAGCAGACTGCCAGCGGAGACAGCCTTGTCCCCATCATTAACAAGCACAATGTATGCAGAACACCAGAGGGGAATTAAAACCACAAAAAATACCTCAGGGTGGTATTTTTAATATGAGAATTTAATTTGTAATTTCACAGATTAAGAATTTTGGCTGCATTAATCCCTTTATCAGCTCACAGCAGGCTATTTGCAGAAGCATAACCATAAGGCGATATTCATTGGCAGAAACACGTCTTTGCATAACGTTAAACATCAGGAGCAGTGAAACCTTTTGAAGGGGGGAGAATAAAGATGAAAAATCATTATATTTTTAAGGCAAGATTCTACTAAATGCCTCCGGTAACAATTTTGAGTTACAGAAATGCTATTTCTGTGTCTAGAAGATAATCATTATGAAGCATAAATCCAGTCGCAAGCAAGGACAATCCCAGTGTTAAAACTACAGTCATTTCCATTTAGAACAACGAGGCTGTACTTGTAAACATGTTTACAAAACAAAGAATTCCCCGGTTCAGAGACTTTGAGCATTATTCCTTTAAGTGAAATGACTGGTTTTGGTGACTCTCTTGTCTGGGTTAATATTATGCACATTATGTTTAGAAATTCTTAAAATTAAGTTTCGTGTTACTGTAGTCTTATGAAAGTTCTTCCTCTGACTCCATGGCAGCTGCAGTAGCAGCAGCTGAGAGCCCTCAAGTGCTTCTCTTCCAAGGGGAGTTGGAAGAAGGTCCACTTGGGAGGAAGAAGTGTTGCAGAATCAATAAATGGATTGTCTTAGCAACCAAGTCATTGTTCAGACTCACCAATTCCAGGAACCTCGCTGTCTTCATCAGCTCAGACTGCTATGACAAAATACCACAGAGTGGGGTGGCTTAAACAATAGGCACTTATTACTCACAGCTCTGGGGATGGGAAGTTCAAGATGAAGGTGCCCACAGAATGATTCCTGCTGAGGTCTCTCCTTCTGTCTGGCAGAGGGCCTGCTTGCTGTGTCCTCACAGGGTAGATAGAACACTTCTCTCTTTCTCTTCTGACAAAGCTACTAATACCATCATGAGTGACCCACCCTCTTGACCTCCTCTAATCCTAACCACCTCTGTAGGCCCCATCTCCAAATAACATCACGTTGAGGTTTAGGGCATCAATACATGGATTGGGAATGGGACTCAAATCAGTCTAGAGCATTCTCATTCTCTAAGATGCCTTATAGCCCTCAAAAGAAAAACTTATTCAACAGGTAGTACAACCAGGTTAAAAGTAGAAGACTATAGGTATGGTGACACATGCCTGTAATCCCAGACACTCAGGAGGCTGGGGCAGGACAATCCAAAGTTTGAGGCCAGTCTCAGCAAATTAGCAAGGTTCTAAACAAACAGAGTATGAGACCCTGTGTCAAAATATGAAGGACTAGAGATGTAGTTCAGTGGTTAAGTGCCCTTGGGTTTAATCCCCACTATCATAGTAATCATAATAATCGTGATGATTTTAAAAAGAAGGCTGGGAACAAAAATATTAGTGCCCCCTAGCCTTCTTGGTGTGCTCTGATCTGTCAGACCCTTGAGAAGAGCATCAGGGTTATTGTAGCCTAGGTACTGCAGGGAACGGCAGCTGTTCTATAGAATTGTATAAAAAAATAAAGTGTTATTTATGCTAGACTCTTATTTGCTTTGGAAGAAAACAATAATGTAATATCTTTGATATTTGACTATTCCTTAAAAACTCATCAAGTTACTGATGTGAATGGAACTTTCAGGTTTCTTTATCAACTTAGAGGCCCAGGCAGAAGAGTACCCACAGAGGTCCACCTGCATGTGTCATTTCACAGAGGCATTACCCTCAGGAGACAAATCTCAGAAATGGCTGCAGTTATACAAACACAATATGAAAGTTTACAAGTTCTAGTACTTATAGGTCCTGAGGGGTGCACTGCATGCCTGTAGTACAGAAGTCAGGGAGCACAGTCACCAAGAGGAGGGGGACACTGAAGTCAATACCTTTGGGTAGTCCAGGGTTTTCTTCCAAACAGATTTCCCTTGGGGAGTTTTAATTGGCAGATTTAAAGCAAACAGACAAGAATTCCTTTTGTCTTACTGTGACTGGCGATGGCTACTACATATGTCCCCACAGTCCATGCAGGGTGGGAGGGTCATGAGGCTAGTTCAGCAGGCCATGCCTGGATGTCCCATAGGGAAGTAGTCATCAGGGAGCAGCTATATAGGGCAGGTGCCTGGATGGACCAGATTGAGAAACTAGAGTGGGGGATGTGTAAGAACTGGAAATTGTGTCAGGGCGACTGAGCCCTGCTTTTCGTATGAGAAAATTCAGCTTATGTTCAAAATGGATGCTGAAGCACATTAAAACTGAGCATTCATTGAAGTTGCATAACATCAAAATTTAGAAGTAATATATTGGTGGAATTATAAATGCATCAAGCAAGAATAAATGATATAGTTACCTGGGGTCTGGCAGTTCAAACTGGCTAATTCCACTGGCACCCTATCATTCTCCCTCTGTCCTAAAACCCCAACAGCCTTGCCCCACTTCTTCACAAAGATTTAATTGCAGGAAAGTAAATGGAGGGCTGATTTAGAAGAAATTCATTACTTTTCCCAAATACACCACAGGGCATTCTCCTGTGTATACTATCAAGTTACATAAATAATTGAGGCTGAACTACCCTTGTCAAAGTAAATGAACAAAATACACTTCATAGCACAGAGTCCTTGATTTTATTACATTCATTTGCTAATTCACAAAACTCAAATTCAGTAAAAGAAGGCCAACAAATTTGTACAGTCTAAAGAAAACTGAGCTGGGAATCAGATCACCTGGCTTCTCGCTTCAGCTCCAATGTTACCTAGTAGGGCAACCTTGGACAGGTGCCTCAGACTCCATGGACTTCAGATTTCTCATTTACATCTGTACATCTGGACCTTTCCAGATCTGTAGTTTTTCCTGCATCGTCTTACATATTATCCTAAAACAACAAGATGCCACTATGTGACTCCGTACCATTATTTCAAAAATAAAAAAGCACACCCATTTCAAATATATCTACGTCCTCTAGGACAAACTTCTGTTTTGTCCTGAGTCCTTTGCAACCAGGCCCTTAAGTCCACAACTCCTGAACTTCTGTTTTCAAAGTTTCTGGTATCTTTTCCCAGGCTTCATTATATATATATGAACACAATACCTTTATTTTGTTTATTTAGTTTTGTTTTTTTTTGTTTTTTTTTTTTTTTTTTAATGTGGTGCTGGGCATCGGACTCAGTGCCTCATGCATGCTAGGCAGGCACTTTAATACTGAGCCACAACCCCCAGACCCCCAGCCTTCATCTTGATCAGCAGAATTTAATATGGTTGGCCACCTCCTCCTCGTGGCACTGCCCTCCCTTGGTTTCCAGGCAGGATTTTCTCATGATTTTCCTTTTGCCTCTTAAACTCTCTTGTTCATACTCCTTTGCTGGTTTTTCTTCTGTTAGACCTCTCATTGTTTCAGTGTCCTGAGGCTTAATCCTCAGGTCTTTCTACCTGCATGCACTCCTTGGAGCCCTGATGATCTTATCCAATCTCAAGATTTAAATATTATCATTGAAACATGGTTCTATCTCTAGCTCTACCTCCTCTGACTCCAGACTTGCATATCCAAGTGACTGCCCAGTGTCTCCACTAGTATTATCAAAACTGAACTCCTAATCTTCTCCCCAAACTTACTCCTTGTGAATAAATGGCAATGCCATTCTCCCAGCTTAGGGTAGTTCTTTGACACCTTTTCTCACACTTTATATCCAATTCATCCACCAACACTGTTGGTAGTACCTTCAAGATATACCCAGGATCATACCAGTCCTTACCTCACTGCTATCACCCTGTCCCAAGCCACTCATCGTCCTTTATTGACCTTTTGTCACAGTAGCCTCCTAACTGGTCTGCCTCTCTTCTGGCCTCCTCTTTTTGATGTTTGTACTTTCTCTTCCTCTAGAGAAAGGTCCAGGTCTTGCCCTCTCTCCTCCTTTTCAAACCCTGCTCAAGTGTCCCGTATCAGGAAAGCCTTTGCTGACGTCCTTCTACCCTCAAACTTCCAATGTCTCGTCCCTGTTCTGTTTTCCTCCCTAACACGTATCACTATTTATCATATTTATTTGGTTGTTTTCTGTCTGTCCCCTACAGCCAGAACCTGTAAGAACAAGAATTTCCTTTCATTCTGATTTGTGGGACTCAGTAAATATTTCTCCATTGAGTGAAGTGAAAGAATGGCATAAAGAAAGGGCAAAATATGTTGTTTCCAGATCCAAATGAATTGTTCTAGATCTGAGACCTGTGGGAGACCTGAGCTGTGGTTCTGAGGGGAAGGCAGACTCTCCCATCCTGTGTGTGTGCGTGTGTGCACGTGCCTGTGGCCACTTGACATTTCAACGATAAGACACTGTGGCAATCTATGTGCTGCACATGAAGAATGACATCTCAGTTTCTACTTTTTTTAAAAAAAAAAAAAGATCATTAGCATACTTATAAGTATATAAATGAAAACTTTTCATTCTGTCCTCAGTGTCTTCTATTTTTACCGTCTCAAATGTGAGATTGCAGCCAGAAGCTGGAGAGAGCATGCGGGCCTTTGGGAAAAACAATAGTTATGGCAAAAGTCTATCAAACAGCAAGCACTGATGAGCACAGCCCTCTCAAAAGAGCAGGTAAGATGACCTACTTTTACTTGGAAGGTAATATTTAATAGATATTGAATAGATTCTTTGAATTAAATATTTCAGACTCATTTTTTCCCTGAAACTATCTTACGAGTCCCTTGGGTTCATTATGGCATTTATCAGACATTCTACTGAGGCAGAGTGAATTCAGTCATTTCTATATTTCCAGACATCTACTAGAAATTCCCTATTTCCAGGTACGTCCTAGAGTCTAACCAAAATTATATTTTGCCTTGCACTTTAGTTATGTAGTCCTAAGTGAACTGTTTGAGTCATGAGCAAATCATCTTCTCTGCTCACACAATCTTCATTGAGGTCATAAAAAGGTTTGCTCTGAGTTGTATCTAAGCCACAAACCTGCTTTGTTTGGTCCACACACTCTTAATTGGTTGCTCACATTTAAAAATTGGGAGATTTTACACAAAGACTCGATAGATTTCTAGCTTTCCTGGAAAAATCGGCAATTCTGGCAATACTGCACTCCCATTCCTACCAGATTTCGTGTGTGACCCAATCATGGCTACCTCCTATGGAGAGGATGTAAGCTCCCCTGTTGAGCTTAAGTGCCATCTGAGCCTCTTTACCCATTTCTGATTTCTATCTGGCTCCTGGCAGAGACTTTATCATGATGAAGTTTCTCCTTTGCACTATTTCAGTTTTTGACCTCTACTATTTTGCAGACAGGAAGCATAATATAAACATGGTGAAGTCTAGGTGATATACCCTGTCCCAGTCATCATGCGTGCTATATAGCGACAAACAGGAGATGACAACTTCTGGAAAGACTTTTCTTGATTGCCAGATGGAAATATATGGGGTTTATGTTTGTTTGTTTTTTATTGGGAAGGGGGGTTGGTTTTCTTTGTTTCTGTTTTTGGAATTCTGTGTGTATGTGTGTGTCTGTGTGTGTGTGTATACACACATGTGTATTTTCCCTTTCAATGTAATATCATACTCTAAAGCAAATAAATAGTTAACTTGCCCTTATAGGCAAAACTTTTTATACTGATTCAAAGTTCAATAATTGTTCAAGTGAACTGGAGATGTGTACAGGAGGCATTCTTCCTTCCTCTTTTAATTTGAAATATGATAAGAGGCTAAATTGACAGAAAGGTAAAGACAGTGAATTTAAGTATACAGATTTTTCTTATGGATGATCTACCAGTACATTGAGCTTTTTTAAGACTTGCTTTTATGTGCTGTCAACATAGGGGCCAATGTAGGCCTCTCAGGGCTGTGTTGGTGGTGTATGAATGATTCAGAGGAAAGAGATCCCTAGATAAAATATGGTAAATGACAGTCAAAAGATGTTACTGTTAAACTTGAGTAAGACTTCTCCTTCTTCAGGCTGTTTCTCCTCATTGGATATAAAGTTATCTAGAAGCACAAGTAACTAGATATAATTTGTGCTCTTACTCTGAATTTTGATTGACCCAAGAATCAGGCTGTTTTTGACCAGTTACATCCTCATTCTAAGAATGTTTTGATTCATGAGGGTTGTGGTATATGCTTTTAAAAAGTATTTAACCTGCATTATAATAATGAGTACCCCTGGCTTTATAAATCCCTTAGCCAATTTGGTGGAACAAAACAAAAAGTGGACATTATTTGTGCTCTGCCTCCCACATGCACACAAGCAAACCTGAATTTCAGTCACAGTGCCAGGTCCTTTCTTGGCTCTTTGGAGATCTCCTGACCTTACCCTGGCTGTCAAAGCTTCTAGGATGTGTTTCAGGTCACCTCATCCTTGTAAAAATCAAATCAAGCAAACTGGATAGAGCATTGCCCAGACAGTCTCAAAAATTGCTAATGTTTGAAAGGAGATTTTTAAAAGGTGCTGAGAACTTCAGTCCTCAGTATTTGAAAGTCTTTACAAAAATGCATTTTCATGGAAATATGATTTTTAAACTAGATCTAAGGTTATATCTGCACAGTGGAAGCTTTTTCTCTACAATTACTTGACAGCAATGCTAATTTTTTCTCCACAAGTTTTGTCTTTTCACACCAACTTTTAAAGCTTGGATATTATTGTTGTTCTAGCCAAATACCTCAGCTTGAGTCAACATGATGTGGAGGAAACATCTCAATTTTTCTCCTCTCAGAAAAGCTGTGGGAAAGCTGGATTCTAACAGTTTTCTGTCAGTCAACAGAAAAAGAAATCATTTTAATTTCTCATCTTTGTGGGTTTTTAAATTTTAATCAAATAGGGCTGTCTTAGAGATCAAATAAGATAGCCAGTTTATTGGCCTCATACAGCATATGGAATGGCCTCACACTGACCAGCAACTAATTATTAAGTTATAGACATTATAGAGCAAAATGTCTACCCAAATAAGGCATCCTTATTGGAAAAATGTGTGATTCCCTCGGCTTTGATTTCTTTATTGTTGTTGAATTCATTTGCTGTTTAGAGCAGACTGTGGCATCTTAAATTTCCCTTGAATGTCCCAGTTCTTTCTAAAGCCCAGAGAGATTAAGAAAAAGGAGGGGGAAGATATTGGGGGCTCAAAGAGGCTGAATGCAGACTAGCATTCTAACCGTTCCTCTCAGGGGATTTATAGGGAGGTACATGTGGCAGGCATTGCATCCCTCTGTCTTCCCAATGATGGAGGGTTAAGTAGGAAGGAATGTTTCAAGTCCTAATTTTTCTCCCATACCTCAGTGTCACATTGTTTTTTTCCTTGCAAACTGAGGTCACTTCAATTATTTATTTAATAATGCTGGATTTACATAAATTGGCCTTAGTAGAAAAGCTAATGAAATGCATTTTGCTTTTCAGCAATTCGTTTTAAAAACTTATAGTGAAATTAAATAAAAAGAAAACCACAAGCTCCTAAGTTAAAAATGGGATAAGTGCCACTGTTGATCAAAATACTGTGCTGCATTTTGTTATCCTCTAAAGACAGCTTGTTTTCCCACTCACCACCATTGAAAATAAGACCCTTCTAAAGTCTGAGAAAGCCTTAAACATGAATAGAATTTCCCTAAGGACAAGGCCAGAAGCTATGTTGAATATCACATCCATTAGTATCACTTGTATTTGAACAGAGTGATACCAGACATACCCCTCTCTTGAGCTTAATTTTCCGGTCATTCTGAATTGACATAGGAAGTGCTTGGTCACTGTCTCCTTCTTCTTTTACTGAACTCAAGGAGTAAGAATGGCACTTCTCTTTAGACATATGTTTTGTAATTTTCCTGAAACAGTAGGTACTCTTTTCAATCAAGCAATTGATCTTTAACCCCCATTAAATTAATAATAAATCTATGAATATCTGTCTACTGTGTTAAAGAATTTGATTCAAGTGCAAGAGGTTCACTGTGTGCATACCTTGGTGACCCTCTCCCCTCCTTTTAGCATGTTTTCTTTGCTAGTCCAAAATTATTTAAGAATTGCAGAATGATGGAAAAATGGCTATAGAGAATCACTACTTGACTCAGTCATTAAGCAATGATTTCTTAAAAGTAGTCTGTCAAATAAAGAAAATAGAATGCATTGATTGCTCAAGAAAATTTAATTAAATAAGGTAAAGTTTTGGGTTTTTTTAGGAACCAGATTCTAGACAGAGCTTGGGGCACCAGACCCCTGAGGAGTTCTTCAAATCCAGTTCCTGGTGCCCATGAATCTGCATTCTAGGAACTCGAAGGGATGTTGATGCAGGTAGCATTAGATATTGAATTCCCCAGCAGATAATGTAGGAATTATAAATTCATGCGATAAAATAATCAACTATTTTGGGTCAGGATAAAGACAAACTAGGAAAATAATCAGTGCTTCATCACATAAAATTAAGCAGTTCCTTGTTACTTCCCTTTCTCCTGCCCTTTCTTCCTGCTTTCTTTCCTCTCCCCACCCTCTTCCCTCCATCCTTTCTTCTCCTTCTTTCCCCCTCCTTCTTTCTTTCCTTCCTCTCTCCCTCTCTTTCCTTCCTCCTTTCACTTCTTAAAGAACGGAGTTGTGTTGTCCAACATAGTAACCACTAGGAATATGTGCCTATTTAAATTTTAATTGATTTCAGTTAACTTAAATAAATTCTTTCCTCAGTAGCAGTACCACATTTCAAGTGCTCCAAGCTGCATACAAGTCACCACTTTTAGGGTGGTACACAACATTTCCAGGATCACAGAATGTTCTACTGGACAATGTTGGTGAAAAGCATTTCTCTCACCTAAGTTTTATGAAGAGGAATCAGAAAGAGAAAACTGAATTAAGTAAAAATGTGTTTCATTTCCAGATTAAGTCCCATTGTGTGTGAGGAGGAGAAAGATGAGCAAAGAGACAAGAGCCAAAGTGAGAGGGATAGAGATGCACAGCTGAGAGTGTCGGAGCGCTGTGCAGACACACCAAGCCTGGTGCCCACGGGGACAGGAGAGACTGAGACAGAGCTGGTGTCAGAATCTTTCAGGAGAAGGTGACCATGTCAGGCTTCCTCAGTTAGCAGTGGTCTGTGAAAAGAAGGATGGGTTGATAGTCTAAGTAGCCTGGCATGTCACTCGGAACCTAACAGTTGCTTTAAGTTTATCTGCCATCTCAACTCTGGAAACTGTTCCTGGAGAAAGATCCACCTATTGCTCTCCTCCGTGCTGTGACATTGTGGTGGCTCACTTTTTCAGTCTCTACATCAACTCACATTGCTTTCATCTTCCCTTCACTTTGTGGCTTCAGCTGACTTGTTTCTGCTTATTCATGGATCCTGCTCATTGTCATTTCTCTTTGTCCCTCTGCCTCTGGGACAGTCTGCCACTGAGTTCTTTTTTCCTCAGATTGAAACCGTCCTAGAGAGCAGCTCTGATTGCTGTAGCCATCATCATGAGCACGCAGAGAGCAAGGCTGCCGTGTCAGTCACCCCCATATGAGTTTCTGGCCTACCATGGGCTGTTGTAGGTCAGTCTCGGAGCCCTGGTGCCATCAGATGAGCTGTGAATGGGGTGGACAACCTGTCCTTAAGGACCCCTCAGAAAAGGGCTCTGGTCTTAGCCATCCTGGAAGCTTTTATGAAGCTGAAAAGCACCTTGCCTGGCCTGTGTACTGTGAGGTAAAAATCAACAAGTATAGAGGGAAACCCCATTTTTAACAGAGTGATAATATCTTCATTGAATGACATTTAAGATCTTCACTGTGTCATATTTTGGGCTATTGACTAAAGATTTTTAAGTCATGTGTTTTCTCAACCATAGACACAAAAGCAGATGCCACCCAATAGAACTTATCACCATATAAAAAATTCAGCTGTTAAATCTGGGTTTCTTTCTAGTTTGGGGGTTTGGTGTTCGTTTTTTGTTATTGTTGTTTGTTTTGTTTTTCCCTGAAAGAACTGGTATTTTCTTCATGACCCTACAGATATTTTTTCCTATCAAATAGCAACGCTTCTATCATCTTTGTTGCTTCATATAGTTGACAAAAGATGCAAAAATAGTAGGCAGAAGGAGAAACAAACCCTGATGTTCCTCTCAGGTGTTATCTGAAAGCATACCTGGTTGATGTCATTACTCCCACATTATCGCAGATTAAAAAATACATCTTACTTGAGAAATTGACAGTGCTTTAAACCACAAATGCGTAGTGTACATTATGAACACAAGATCGAGAAGAGGCCAGAATATTGTTCAGTTTCCCGTCTACTTCCACCCCTTTACCTTAGCTTCTCCTCTATCCTAGGAGATAGCCTAATAGTATTCTGTGTACTGTGAGGTACAAATCAGGATCCTTTCATGTCCTTTAAACTCCAATGCAAAAGAGTAGACTATAGAAGTTTGTCTCTTCTATAATCTTCTCGCTTCTCTGCCTCTGCATCCCTCCTTCTCTGTGGGCCACCTCTGACCTGTACTCTACATCTCCCCAACCCTGAATGGGTCAGCAAGGAACTCTCAGGCCTTGACTACCTAATCTGCTTAATGACGGACTAGTCTTGTTACAAAGAAGAATAAAAATAAAGTTATTTTATTTTCACTCAGAGTGTATTTATAAACTACATAATTTTTTACATCGACACGACCTCAGGTCTACAGAAGAGTTGCAAGAATAACATAAAAAAAAAATTCTGAAGCCCTTTTCTTGCTTTCCCCAAATGTTCACATTTCCCCTGTGTCTGCTGTCTGCTTCCCCATCGTCATTCTCTCCCTTTTTCCTCCCCTACCTCTGCACACACAAATGTGAACACACACAGTTTTGCTAAACCCTGTATGTTATTCACATGAAGCTATGTTGACTTGAACTATTTCATTGTGTTTTTCTTAATAACAAGGAATTCAGAATGATGTTTTTTTAAATTAAAAATAGTGATACTTTTTGGCCTTGCTTTTCCTCTTCCATCCTCTGATTGAGGGTTCTAAGAGGCAAAATGGCTAAAAGAAAGGAATCTGGTTTCATGCTCCACAAAGTGATTCATCAGCCTATGCATCCTCAAAAAGTGACTATATTTTTGTGATTCAGCATTTCCAGATTAGATGAGTTTTCAATTGTGGGGGACAGGGAAAATAGCACTGTGGCTTTCATCTTCTGGCTTTTTAAAACACAGATTGATTTTTTTAGGGACTATTTAGCCTACAACATAATATGAATGAAGGATTCTTATAACTTGTGGCCACAGGATGTAGTGTGGCCCGTAACCAAGGTATCCACTACAGTGCTTGGCTAAACTATTAGAGTTAGCATTTACCTCTAGTACATGGCTATAATCAGCTCAGGTGTTCTATTTTTCCTTTTCATTTAATGGTGATTCTTATGAATTTGGGATACAGAGGGAATCATCTATGTCCTAAGTGCACTATATTGTATTATTAATACCAGGACAGCAGCTGAGTCCCAGTAGACAGTCTTTGTGGTCTGCTGGTACTCTAAGAAGTGTCTGAGCATAAAAGGAGGCTGTTTGAGTTGAAGTGGGCTGATGGTCTGGGATGACATTTGAATGCACAGAGGACAATGTCTAAATGACAATGTTGAGACGGGAAGGCAAAAAGAAGCTAGAAACTATTCCCATTGTCCCACAGATGCTCATCACTCCCAAGATATTCTTCAAATGGGAGCTTTGGGAAGAAATGGGGAGGAGAATCAGGGAAGGCCAGTCATTAGAGCCCTAGGAACAAAACTACAGAGTTTCAGGTCCTTAGACACATTAAAATTCTAGACAGAGAGCAAACATAATGCTATAACAGAATGTATTTCAATAAAAAAGTTAACGTTTTAGTTAAATTATTACAAGTGTGATTAACAAAATGTTTGCGATGCTCTGAGATGCTTCTATGAATAAAGCTTTTAAGAACATCAAATTAGTTGTGCAAATGAATAATTTACTCAGTCTCTTTTGGAATTTGGGATAGCTGCTGCTTCTACCAACTCTCTCTCTCTCTCTCTCTCTCTCCTCTCTTTCTCTCCCCTGCCCCTCTCAATATGCTACATAGTCAAAGGAGTAATTTTCCAACAGTGCTAGAGTTGTTAAGATAACATTATAGATTAATCAAAGAATTGCTTTTCCAGCTAAGGAAATAATATACAAGGTCTAGAAAAATAATAATACAAAAGTTGGAGAAATTGTCAGAAATTCCTGTTATAATGAGTGTCCATGTATGCTGAACATGGGATTAAATACTATACTGTTTGCTTCCATACATGGTTGAATTTTCTCCCTGTAAAATATTACCATTCTTTTAATATACTTTTCATTATGTATAGTGCCCTTGGATTTTTAGTTGCTCTGGATTATCATTTTCAATGTAATTAGTAAAATGCCCTCAATTACATGAAATAATTGCTGTAAGTGGGGCTATTGGCCTAATTGCTATAAATGGGGAAAGATCTGTGATTATCATGTGCAATTAAATCATGTACAGTATTTATTTTACATTATTACATACAATGGTGTAATGATAACACATAATTATGTTGTATCATCTCTTGGTCAACAAATCTACTCCATATAAAGATACCTAGAGTTGAGACCCATTGCCAAATAAACCACCTACCGGATCTTTCTTCCTAAAATAATTGAGTTATTCTGTGATCTGGTGACCCACTATGTTTAAATGTAATTAAGTAAACTGATTCTGTATAGGCAGAATAAATCTAGAAGAAAAAAAATTTATTTTTTACCTCCATTAATTCAGAATGCCCAGATTATCCTATATTGTTGATGTCAAGAATTTAATCCTCCCTGAGCCTAGTACTAACCTCTACTGTACCTGTTTGCTTTTATATGAATGTGTAAAAGTCAACACCCTTAACTAGTTGCAACAGTCAAAATATGCCTAGGAAAAAAAGAGAGCTTTGCTTCACTGTGACAAACCTTATAATCATCCCTAGTTTACAAATGCACACTTAACGAGCTTATAGCACATAATTAATTCTGCAAAGGATACTGTTTGACAGAGTGGGATTATGAGAATTGCATATTGATAGTGGCAGGAGAAATAAATCTATTTTCTCTGCGTAAGGTGGGATATTCTTGTGTTCTTTAGAAACTGGCACATCTCAGAGGTGTTGCTCTCAAAATGATCTCAGGATGGAAAGAAATCAGTAATTACAGAGCCAGGCATTCAGTTGTGTCCTAATTTTCCCACCAGTTTTTCAGTGTTTCAGCTGCCTCAGAGACTTAAAGTATTCTCATTAGGTAGCTGCAGAGGCAGCCGCTTTGCCGACTCCCTCATTCTCTCACTGGCTTTTCCTTTTTTTTCCCCCTTCCATTCCTGCCTTGGGAGTGACTGTGAAGATCATTTGCTGGAATGATTGGCAGGTTAGAGGATTCGATCAGATGAGTTCCTCTTAGTGCAGGTCAAAAAGGCTAGTTAGCAGGAGCTGTCGAAAAATGCCAGCAGCATTCGAAATGGGAAATGTCATGACTTCCAGGCAGGGGGTGCCACCTGGAACAGAAAGCCCTCAGCTCATTAGCAAGTTACAGGATGCGGGCTTAACTGGAGGGAGCAGGGAAGGAAAGATAATACCCAATAGGGAAAATGATTGTGAAGTGGAATTGATTTCATGTATAATTTGTTTATCACTAGAGGGGACAAATGCTGTCCTTCTGACATGAGCGGAGGAGTGTGGACTATGAATGAAGCAACTTAGCATAATCTCCAGGTTGAGCTTTGGGTTTAAAGAATGCAAACTTCTTTATTCTTAACTGTGGAAATGATCAGGTCATGTTACATTAATTAAAGCTGACACACACTCAAATGTTTTATCTGGGCAATTGTGGCAATTCGACAGAACCGGATAGAGATGGGCAACTTTAGAAAATTAGAGAGATACCCCCCGCCCTTGGCTAGTGTGGAAGACTAGCTCAGTTGCATACTGAATAACAGGACCGGTGTTTATATTCAGTGGTAGCTAGGCTGCACACATCAAACCAGGGTTCCTGATTCACATGTGATCTCATTGATAAAGGAGACCATGTGCCTTTTGGGAGATGGAAATCTAATCCATGTTAAAATATATGTGTATATTTTAGAATATGTATCATATTTTGGTACAATTTAACCTCTTGTTTTTTAAAGGGGAAGCTCTCCAGTTTTCGTTCATCTAGACTTTAATATCTAACACAAAGTCAATAATTTATAGTAGCCTTATTTACAAACAAAACTAAGAAGGTGCCCTTATAGAGAAAATCAGCCTGCAACCTGTAAAAAGAGAACACAATGACAAACAGAATAATATTTGCTAGCATGTACTCGCACTAAGCTCCAAATTCAAAGCTTCTAAAAATGCACTAAATCGACCTTGGTGTAAATTCTTTTCCTACATAAATTCCACTAGAAAATACATTTTCTTTTGATAAAGAATTTTTATGATATCATTTATCTTTTGCATGAAGATCTTCATCTTGTTACTGTAAATCACAAATGCTACAGCTGCAAGTCTTTCTGGCTGAACACTGAAAGATGTTTACTTAGCATCCAGATTCTGGTTAAAATGTATATTTTCAAAATGTCTTTGCCTTCAGTTTCTCTTTTCTCTTAAATATTGAGACATTTTATCAGGCAGTTATTAAATAGCCAAGGCTTGTTTTATCAAGCAGCCTCAGACTGCTGTCTAATGTGAATAAGAATCTTAAAACCTCCCAGTCAAAACACTGGTGCAAAATTCATTCTGTTCTATATTCAGCATAAAAAGCTTAGCATTAAGCTACTGTATATAGCTGTCAAGATGTACTGCATTAGTTCTGTCAAATCTAAAAATTTAAACATCAGTGTGAATCCATGAATCCATCCATCCCCTCGTTTGGGAATTTTATTGTGCAGTCTAGAAGCTGGCCCTGAAATTTTTTTTCCTTTTTTTCTTTCTTTCTTTTCTTCTTCTTTTTTTTTTTAAATAAAATGCTATTTGAAATTAACCTAAAGTTCTTCCACAGTAACTCAATTTATTAATACTTCACAGATTTATTATTAGAATAATAAACTATTTTGACAGAAAACATTGTCAAATTATTGTTAATGAAATAATTAAGGCTGGGGGTGTAGCACAATTTTAGGGCACTTACCTGGCACGCACAAGACCCTAGATTCCATCCCCAACATCACAACACACACACACACACACACACACACACACAAAGCAAAAAACAGGAAACAGGACTTGGGTATAGTTGTCTACAAGTTCATTCCCACTATTTAGCCACATATGAGGCCCTCACCTCTCAAAACAAGCAAATTGAAGATAGCAAGCTACATGGAGTGGGGGGGTGAGGGGTTTGCTCATACCTGGTCTCACCACCAACCCTTTTCTTTTTTCCTTGACCCCAGCTCTGCGTTTCAAAGTCAGCATGTGTTCACTGACTTCTTAGATTTGCTGGTATTTTGTATTCTTCTTAATTTACCTCCTCTCCATTGATTAATATAATCTCTGGCATATTTTGACATTCTTATATTTACCATTCACTTTGTAGAACCTCTCTACAACTCTATGGACTGAATGACTATATGCTA